TCCCCATATCCCCATACCACATCGTTGGTTGAATAACATGCACCTAGGAAGCGTCAAAGTCCAATATCCTATTCACCAAGCAATCGTTTCATCTACCACGAGTATCTTGGACTCGGTGCAAGAGTAAACATAAATGTGCAGGGGTATACAAATATTCTTGATTGGTGAACCTGCCCTAAATGCCCCATCATACCCTCCGCCTGACAGGGTCTTCGAGGAACCCACCCACTCTATCGTCTGATTTCTGCGGTCTGGAGGCGTGGTACTGCTTCCCAACTTGCATGCAAGCCAGGAGGTGCGGGGTTGAATTACGAATGATACGTCGGTATGCATTCTATCCAAGTCTATCGGTAAGGGTGTCTTTTGTGGCCGGGCGTTGGTTGCCACATTTTACCAGGGGTTGTACAGACGAAATTCACTTGGGGGTCATCCTCCAGCTACGCCGACGTGCCTGCGATAATTGAACATTATTAGCATTAACAAAAGTCAAATCTGCTATCTACTTAAAGTTTTGAATGGGCTTGAATGTTGATACTGAAGCCAGACTGTACACACATATCCAATTGCATGATGAGCCCGAAAGTCCCAAACATGTTCAAAAATTCGCCGGCGGATACTACCAACAGATCTTTATCTGCAAGGGACCAGGGTCTCCTGCCACCCCCAGTGTCGGAACCAACAACCAGCAACACACTGCACTGGAATGTTTCTAGCCCCTCCCAGTCGCAGAAATCTGCAGCGGGGGCGAGAACATCCCGATGACGTGTCATGGGAACCACCTCATTCATAACTCGGAGACTGCTCCGAGGGCTGTGGGCTTCGACTGATGAGGGACTTCCAAGGTTGGTACCATTCTCTACGAAAGGTGCCCAAATCATCACACAGTCTAGATCGACAAGATGTATGGAACGCTCTCTTTTGACAAGAACGAAGACAATTCTCCAACAGAGTTCTACGCATTTTTGTCGATTCGCGGCAGGCGGTAGAGGCAGCCAGCGTGCAACGAATGTCGAAGAGCACGCGTCAAGTGTCGAGAGAAGTTCAGCAAAGACAAATGTGCCCGTGTCACAGCACGAGAAGAACATGCACGTACAGCTCAAATCAACACGCACCTCGACAATCAAATCAGAGTGGCAAGGATGGACCACCTAGGTCAACTAGACCAGCCAAAGTCATCGGGGAGAAGCCGGTTCAGGATGGAGACAGCCACCCAGCCATAAGTCCAACACCGCCAAGAGCGCTCAGCCCAACACCAGGCGGACAGAACGACTTTGTTGGGAGAGACAACATCTTTGATTTCCAATTGGACAACATCGATATAATTGGCGACCTAAGTGGAAGTTCAAGTGCGGCATCTACATCTCGAGACATAGCAAATCGACAAGCTGAAGATGAAATTGACGACATGGGCAGTCTGTTTGGTTTCATAAACGACACTTGTGTCATGTCACATGTTCCAGACATGATTTCAACATCAGAGTATATTGACGAAAGGTCCATTGGCAACCATAATCCTTCGGATCGGGCTTTATCAACAGCAACCCTCTCATCGGCACTCAATATAAGCAGGAGTTCACCACATGGGCAAGATGGACGGGCCAAAACGTTGGAAACCCCTCTGGAGACATCTCTTGGTCACTCGTGGACTTCAAGGCATTCGGAATCCACCCAAGATAAGCTGCCTGCCCGTCTATCACCTCTGACTGGGTTTCACGATGTCATAGACGTCGTACGATTTCCTAAAAGCCCTTCCCTATCCGACGCGGCAGCCTCGTTCTCGAGCGTATGCACATGCCTCCAAGACCTGACTGCAGGTTTATTTGGTTTCCAGACATCTGGCGAGAATGTTCGAGTGGACCGTCTACTGCTTCTCTTCAAGCGTTGCATGTACAGATGGAAGGGTGTCGACACGTGCGCTTCGGCGTGTTCTACTACCCCGATCCTCGCGCTTCTCATGTTGATGAATTTGCAACAATTGGTCTCGTTGCTATTGAGAGCTTCATCTTCAGCAAGATCTGGAGACATTGCCAACGACCCGGAACTGTCAGGTTCTGCTCTGAACATCAACATGGGATCATTCGTCGTGGAGGATAGGGCTGATCGGCGATTTATTGCCGAACACCTTATAGCTTCGAGAATGAAGGAATTGTTCTCTTTCATTTCAAACACGAGTCTCAAAGCGAATGCATCTGGCCTAGACACTGTAAATGAAGAGTACCAGCGGCAGATGGAAAGGCTTAGGCAAGCGTTTACTTATAAGTTAGAAAACATCTGGAAGAGCTGCAATTGAACCCTTCAAAAACATGAGACTGCCAATGTTTTTGAGCAGAAAACATCGGCAATGGTGATTTCGCACGGCGTGGGATGCGCAAAAGGCCGATTATTTGTTTTAAATGTCAAAACTTCGCACCCTTGTCACTGTATGGGGGAACACGAGCCTCAGTTGGTTGATTGTGGTGAGCCCAGTGCCGATCTCTATTGATTATACGTGAAATTGCCTCTGACATCTGTTAACAAAAATTCATCATCTTAAAAGGAAAAGAATTACACAATTCAAGTTTGAAAGGTTCACAGTGATGTTGACAAGACAGCACGGCTTGCGATTGGGCCCAAAGCAATGCGGTGCCAAGCAAAGCAAAGCGTTTCCGTGGATGTCTCCCTGTGAAATTATGGGACTTGTGTTACGCGAGTGGATGAGGAGCACTCAGGCAAACAGTCGCAAACATCCAAAGACAGATAACATTCCGCACAGCCTGCTCGAGCCACACGTTCGAGTGAGCATACATTGCTGTAAATTGCATGCTTCAGTGGGACCATGTTGGCGCCGTCGAGTATGATTGGAGGAGGTGTCCAAGGTGAGACTCATCTTCCGTCTTACATATTCCGCAAAGGGTTATTGCTCGAAATTGGCACATCCTACCCCGGCATCGACTTTCGCCCGGCCTTTTACTTTTTTTCCTGCAACTGGGTGATTTATCCGCATTCTAGCTTCAGCCTGCTCAAGGTCCAGGTTCGTAAATCACATTCCTTATCTATGAGAAAAGGGTAACGCTGCCCATCTTACTACATAAAATGGCTCGGATTCTTGAGACGACCCTCCTGCCCTTAGGTTGAAATTTTGGAGAATCCGCAAATGATTCGACACAATGTTCAACCTTTTTGCCAATTATTGGAGATCACCGCAACCTCAGCGTGTGTCAACTGATGAAGTTATTCCCGTGGGATTTTTTGATGATACCATCATTTTCAGAAACTTTGTCTTCTACGCCCTCTTCAACTTCGACAGCGTCCTTGCGCCTGGATTGCTACATGACTCTCTAGGAGGTCTGATAAATCAGCCGGGTTGGAGTAAGTTGGGAGCCAGATTGAGAAGAAATGTAAGGCATGGTGCTCGAATCGTCCGAAAAAGCACGTCTTCTTAAACAATTGATGAAGATCTGACTTGGAATGGCCGTATAGGACCGTGGAGAGCTTGAACACCACATCCCGAAAGAGTTTTCCGCAGACCGCCCAGCCGTCGGATTTGAACGTGTTGACCTAAGTCATTTGGCTGCCGAGGATCATCCCACTGCATCCAAAATACCCCGCCCACCGAGCAGCGGTCAGCCCTCTATTGTCGGTGACCCCAGCCATCTATCGGACCTATACCTCGGCCCTGATATTCCCAGAGGATTGAATGACTACCTCTTCACGGATAGGCCACAGCTTGGACTACGCATCGTCTCCTTCAAGAACTCGACAGTCATAGTCCTTCATTGGCTGCATTTGTCAGCTGATGCCGTATCTATCGGGTCTCTTCTCAACGCTTGGTCGCTGAAACTTCAAGGGCGGGAAGATGACCTACTAAAGCCACTGACAGGTGCCTATGCTCTGGAAGATTTGGGCAAGAATCCGACCAGGCCACACGTCCTTTCTCATCAGCACATGTCCACGGTCAGTCTAGGCAAGTGGCTCTTCTGGAACTTCTACAATTTGGTCATCAGGCCGAAGGAGAATCGCATTGTCTGCATTCCTGCTGAGTACCTCCGGGGGCTTAAGGAAAAGGCCATGGCTGAGCTTGAGGCGCAGCCGAGCATCGACCGCAAGGAAAAGCCAAAGTTTGTGAGTGAAGGAGATGTGATCCTAGCATGGGTTGCACGCCTCTCATTTTCAAGTCTCTCTGAAAGTTCTGAATGTACGGTAAGTAATCTTGCAAAACAATCAAAAGCTGGTGCAGCATACTAACATAATGACACTTCTAGATGGCGCTACAGCAGGTTTATGAGTGGCGACGGGCTTTGAAAGACCTCATACCCCACGACAGGCCGATACTAAGCAATTGCGTCGGCTTTGTTGTGACTCTGATACCCGCGAAAGATCTTCTCCAAAAGCCGCTGAGCTATGTGGCCTCCCAGATCCGTCGTACGCTCATTGAGCAAGGCTCACGAGAGCAGATTGAAGCCTATACATCACTAATCCGGCAAGACCCTATCAACAAGGCCCCTCCTCTATTTGGCGACACCTCCATGAAGTTGTTGATGTTCACGAACTGGCAAAGGGCTAGACTCTACGAGACCGATTTCTCAGCGGCATCTGTCAACAAACTTGATGGCCCCCTGTTTCCTTCGTATATCCAGGCAGTCCCAGGCCCTTATGAGTTTAATGATGGTCTCATTCTTTTTGGCAAGGACTCTTCAGGCAACTACTGGTTTGGAGGACAGAGAGCGCAGGGTCAATGGGGCATGATGGAGCGGAAGATAGAAGAAGGCATGAAAGACGTCTGAGGGAAGAACATAGCTGTTTACGTAGGACGCCTATGCCATCTAACAAACAATTCCGGTTTCCACCACAATACATGCACTCTGCTCTGTTCTATGAATTTAATATCTTTATCTACGAGCTCCATGTCATACGACCACAGAAGCTTCGCCAACATAAGGTTCAACTCCATCCATGCAAAGCTGAATGTAGCAAATTCGTCAGAACCGTCAAATTTCAGAGCGATGAGAGTGACTTGTGACTTACTTTCTTCCTAAGCAGTCCCGAGGACCAAGCAGAAACGGACGACTGGCATCCTTATTATCTTTGCAATGAGGGTCCAGCCATCGCTCTGGTTTGAAATGCCAGGGGTCGGAGAAATACTCTGGATTGTGAACGGTGGACCAGGGACTGACGCTGATGTCGGTCTGTACATCCATCAATAGTTGTTTTAATCAGTAATGAATAAACTGGTCTCCCTGGTTTGTTCAAACCCACGCCTTCAGGTGTATATTGGCCGTGCAACTCAAAGCCAGGAGAGAGCCTAGTCGCGCCCCCAGAAGCGGGAGGAAACAGTCTAAGACCTTCATTGATAACAGCTTGCAGGTATGGTAGCTGCTGGGCCTTCGATCCGGTTATTTCGTCGTAGGTTTTGAAAGCGACACGAATCTCCTGGCCGAGAAGTTCCAGCTTCTCTGGATTTTGACCGAGAAAACATGTCAAGGCTGATAGAGTAGTTGCCACGGTCTCTCCACCAGCAATTCTGCGGGATCACGTTAGGTAATGTATCCTTTAAAATTTCATGGAAGCAAACTTGACGGAATCTTGATTGAACGTACGCGATTGTTGAAACGTGAGCTGTCATTTCCTCCTTAGAGACTTCTCCTGCGCGAACCTTGTCGACGAGCGGACTGACGAAGTCGCTGCGAGCCGCTTTGACTTGAAGACGGCTAACGAGAGGTTTCGTTAGTTCATGAGTTGACTGAGAACCATTGGACAACTTTCAACTTACTTCTCGACCTGTTGGCGACTATAGTTCGAATGTTGATTGTTGGTGACGATCCATGTGGGGATGAGTAGTCTTGCAAGTTTGGACATCCACCCAATGCGCCGCAAATTGTCAATAAGAGTGACGATGTAGAGATGCTCAAGGGCAGTATCCGCCCAGGAATTCAGGATATCTGGTCTTGGAATCAGCGGAGGTGCCATCTGCCAAAGCATTGAACCTAACCGAAGCCAGAGATGAGTCTGCTCACCAATGTCAAGATTGCGGAAGCTCTCTCCGAAAGCCATCTCGCCAAGAATCTCAAATGAATTCATGTTGTAACATTTGGTCATGTTCAAACCTTTTGTTCCAGATCCTCCTTTTTCTCCCATTTTCGTGACAAACCTATCAACGATTTCCAAGATAATATTCTCTTGTTCGACCAAAACACGTTGCGAAAAAGATGGGCTCAGAATCTTCCGCATGCCGGAGTGTTTCTGGGGATCACGCTCGCTTCCGATGCATCTGCTGCTGAAGCCGGCAGCCAGGACGTCATAGAAGGGTCCTTTTCGCGCAATCTGCCTGCCGCTTCCGGGGTGACCGTAGATGGCTTTCCAGCTTTCCGCACTGGCAAACGAGAGCTCGTTAGGCGAGATCCGGACTATATTGCCTGGCAAAATTTGTCAACAACAATGTCGCGTGCAATCGAAGCAACGATGGTTCGAAACACACCATATTTGTCATGGGCTCGCTCAACTGCAATATGGATTTCGCCCCGAAAGCTGTGAAAGAAACGATATAACTTAGTTTTCGAATGTCGCGTTAATACTTTAGTTTGGTGCTGTCATTTTGTATCTCTGCCTACCAGAACACCGGCCCAAAGTTGGTCCTGGAAACTTCGCCAGGGGATGAAACCATAAATTGTAGCTCCATACGGCAATACATCGACAGATTATCTTATGTGCAGCAATCAGTGATTCCTAGCAGAACGCAAAGTGTTAGCTTGAAAGGCTTGAATTAAAAATGCTGTGCACTCTTCATTCTTACAATATCACTAGGTCTGCCGAGACAGTCATGCATTCCTGCAGGCTTGGATGCTCGTACACGTGCTGTGGCAGGTTGATGTTTGAGCCGTACTCGGTCAGGTTGATGGCTGGGTACACGCCAATTGTGCCTCTACGCATGTTCATGTACTCATCTACGTCGCGTGTGAAGTTTTGGCCGCTGGATTGCTGATCGACCTGCACGAGCAGTTGTGCAAAGTAACGCTTGTGTTGATCAATCCATCGATTTTGCATCTCTAGATTTAAAAGTCAGCACTTTACAAACTTGTCATTCCAATTACACGCGAAGCCTAGTCATCTGCTACGAGGAGCGGATGGACAATGAGAAGGAGTTATGGTCGGATTCAAGGGCAATGCAGAACGAACCTGGACTGGATACTTCGCTGATGGTATCCCAGCATCTCTGAAACACATATCTAATGGGATTGGAATCGGCAGTATAGCGAGGCGCATCGCCGCCCATGATGGCTATGTTTTGACTGATCTCCTCCGCAGCAGCGGTCGGATCCTCCTTGAGGTGTCCTTCATCAAACTCTGGTATAATAACGCATTATCAGTAACTTGTTGGAACAAGTTCGAAATTGGAGAGCCACCCACGATCGTCGAAAAGAAACACCTGCATTGGTCAGTATTTGGAAGCATATGAGTTGGCTTAGTGGAAGAACGAACCCAGTGATGCCAATCCAACATGATCTTTAGGCGGTCTTCTGAGGCGATTGGTGACCAAATTGATGCAAGGAAACACAGATCAACTTTGGAGTTCTTTGCTGCTTCCACCTCGTTGTACTTCATGACACTGCCGGGCGAAGCTTGGTGCGTTAGTTTCGGACTGAAAACGATTCCAAAATTGGAATTAAAAGCGTATGCTACGTCGCAATCCATTCGTCTCTGACAGCTTTTACCTCAAAGTAGTTGGGATTGACAACAAGCTTTGTGGACATGATGGAACCGAATAGCTCTGGGATGCGAACGAAAGGTGGCAGTTTGGCAATCTGCTGTCTGTCTGGTTTTGATTGCATCGGGGACGTCATACTGATGGTTTCGTAGCCAGAGTCTGAGCTGTTGCTACTGGCATCGTCACAGGCTGGATGCATCTCGACGTCCTGCGACTGGCATAAGAGCGTTGCCATTTCGGAGGTTCTCACTTCTGGTGATAGACGTATGATTCTCGACGAGACTTGGATCTTTGGAGTGAGCGAAACTACCAGATACTATCGACCATCGATCACCCGTTTCATATGGGTTAGGCGTAGAGGTTTCCCTCTGACTCTTAAGTATGACGCCGCATCGTCGTTTGCCTTACGCAAGATGTAATCGTGTGATAGCAGGGGGTAAAGTGCTGAATGGCAGCTTATCTGAAGAAAATCAGCGGGGTGGGAAAGCATCTGGAAGCACGAACCGGTGTACGACAAGCCAGCATTCTCCCAAAGGAGAGCATCTGATACGGCCAAACGGCAATTGCCAAAAAGAGTAAATGCCGACAGACCATAGCTTTCGTGCCGGAGGCTCGTCTATTCAAAACAATATCAATAAGCCAATCTCAACATAGAAATTCCAGCTTGGAATTCTTATTTTGGCAATGTCCTCTTTTCCCAGCATGAAATCGGGCTTTGCCAGGAGAGTAAAATAGTGCGACCGCGGTTCTCTGGCGTTGCCGTGTGGGCCTCCTGAATTGATGTTTTTTGTAGACGAGTCCCTGTGACTCAGTGCAGTTTGGACACCCGACATTTATAGCGCATTTTCCACAATTCCTGCAACGATGAAGGGTGATGAAATCGGCAACTTTGACCTCAACTATGACGGAGGCGACGTCTTCCCATGGCTACATGAGATTTGACCAGCCAAGTTCAGTCGGATTTGTAGCAGGATTAATGCACGCGCCTCCAGCCAAACGAGAACGATGTTTTTTTTGATCTGGTAAAGAAGATGAGGATATGCATCGATCCATTGCTAATTACCCCTTTGCCCTTCTTCATTTAGCCACCCACCAACATCACTCATGCCTTTCCGGCTGATCCGCATATCTCCATCCACTCCATCGTTTGTCGCTTCACATGATACGTCCCCTCCTCGATTAAGGTGGTGTGCGGTACCCGTGCAACTTGATGTCTAAGATGCATGTAATACTCATCTAGAACCAACTTGTTCACGTTGATTTTGGTCGCCCCTGCAGCGATGCATTGCCGCATAAGATCCGACGGGAATCCATTTGTGCCGTGAAGAGCAACCCGTACTCTCCCGCCAATCTGTTTTTGTATGTCGTCGAACCTGATTCTCGATTAGAGGCGTACAAAGAATAAACAGCGCAGCGGCATACCTTTCGAAGTCCAATTGCGGACCTTGCTTTCCGTATTCGCCGTGGACGTTACCGAAAGCCGGAGCCAGAGCATCAACGCCTGTAGCGATGAACTGGTCAACTTCTTCAGGCGTCGTTTTGCTCGCTTCCAGCCCGGCCGTGTCCATCACCCCATCTTCAGCGCCCTCGATCCTCCCAGGTTCTGCTTCCGTGGCAATACCGCGCTCGTGGCAGTACTTGACCCAAGTTGCGGTCTTCTCTAAATTCTCATTCTTCTCATAGTGCGACATATCGACCATGATGCTGTCGAAGGGGAGGTTGTCGGCCGCATGCTTGATGATTTTTTCATCTTGCGCGTGGTCCAAATGTATCGATATCGGCACACTTGCTCGGCTGATGGATTCCTTCGCAGTCCTGACGAGCAGACCGTCGGCGTAGGTCACTGCCCAGGGAAAGAACTGGAGGATGAGGGGTGACTGAGCTTGCTCAGCAGCGGCAACAAGTCCGTAGATCTGCTCGAGGTTGTACGCAATGGCTGCGATCACGCCATACCGCCCCTTTTCAGCATTCCGTAAGATCTGGAGATGTCGATTGTTGTCTTTCCAATTGGTCGGCACGGCCATGATGTGTGTTTAAACGTTCGAGCTGGGATAATGCTGATATTGATGTGTCCGTCAAGTGGCGCGCGTTGGAAACCCCGAGTAGTAGATATTTGACTTATTTCTGTGCATGATCCGATATCGATAGTGGCGAATTTACGTCAACCACATGATGGATGGGTCTGGGATGATGTGTTGGCTTCCGTGTCGAGGAAATCGAATGGCAGTGGGTCTGGGTCGTCACGAGGGACGTCACGATCACCAACCAACACGAACCATTGTTCCATGTTGACCTTTGTCGTGTCTCATCCCCGCTTCTCTGACATGCATTAAAACTGCGAGATGAATTAAAGAAGCCTGGGCTCAAAATGCTTCACAGAGGTTTTGTATGATGCGGCTCGAGCTTGAGCACTAATGCGAAGTCAGGGAGCTTTCATGTTGGGTTCACTGGTAGTGAAGTTTCTGTTTCCTTGTCTATCAAGTGACTTGAATCTGTGTTCAATTTTATTTTTCTGGGGTCATTCCTCAATTACCCTCTGAGATTTCCCATCTTGCTGAGAGTTCCTCTCCTAGCGGCTTGACTGGCCAGCCGGATCTCTCGCGACAGGCCTCCAATAGCCCTAGAACACAATTCCGTTCTCTCCTGCTTTCGAGAGGAATTCCAGCTACGGCCATGAGCACGCGGTCTAGTTCCTGGGCCGGCGGTGATGATGACATACCTATGTAAAGACACTGAGAACACATGACACTTGATGGGTAGTCAGAGAGTGTCAAGGCAATCCCACACACCTTCTTCACGCATTCCATGAGACGCTTCCGTTGCTGTGTGTACTGCTCTAGACCTCCTAGTACTGGCACATTCAAAAGCAAAAGGATGTGAGCGCAGTAGTAGACTTGGAATGCAATTGCTTCACAGGGCGTCAGTAAATATCTTCGTCGCTGGGGGCGGTGCTCAAAATGTCACAGCTTACCGCATGCTGGGGGGTAAATCCAAATTGGCTCAAATACATCGTCCACGGAACCGGAGTAGGGCAGTGGTTGGAATTCTGCCGTCAAATGCCTCCTCCAATTTTCCAATTGATCTTTGAGTGCATCAGCCGCGGCAACTCTAGCAATCGGGTCATTCTTTGCTGCTTCTGTGTCTTCTTTGGAGCAGAATGCTACGACTTGGGCAAAGAAGTACACGGAACGAGCCGCAAGTTGATAAGGATCCAGCTCATCCAATGTCTTGACCGGCCTCCAGAATGTGAAGGGGCGACGCTTCTCACGGAATGCAGCCCAAACATCTTGGCAAAGCCACGTCCACCATACTGCTTGCTTCAAACCCCCAGAATCACCATGTATGGTTTGAGAGCGCTGTATCCAGTGAACTCCTTTGAGATGTCTTTCCCAGTCTTGACGTGATCCGTCCAACATCTCATATGCAGATATGATGGATGAAGTAGCGAGCAGTTCAAGGCTTGTCTTGTATGTATCGTACTGCATTGCCTCTTGGATGTAGTGCAGAGTCTTGTAGTAATATTTTAAGGCCTCGTTCAGATCTTGATGGTCTTTCTCTCCAACTTTTGAGCTCAAAGAAAGATGACGAGCCGAAAGCGCCAAGACGGCGTTCATGAGCCCTACATTATGCATCTAAGTAAAGGTATTACTACTAAGTGACAGGCTCTGCAGAGAAGGCTTCCATGAGAGACATACCGCTAGTTGGGGAACTTGTGTTCCAAAAGGTCTTCTAGGGTCGAAGAAGTCCATCTACTAAAGATTTAGAACGGCCAAACGCCGGGGAAATATGTCTACGCACCCACAAGCTGATATGCCTCACAAAGTTTTGGAAAATCACATGCTCATGAGAAGAGATGTGTATTGGGCTTGTCGAGTACCAGTTCTGCTTCTCAAACTGTTGGTAGTCGCTTAACCTTGGTGTCCTCTCCGTCAAATAAGAGTTGGAAGTGCATGGAGTCGGAGATAGCCCATCCGAGGAAACCCTCGGTTGAGCTTTTCTTACTGCTGGTGACTGCACAACGGAACTTCCAAAAATATCGACACTTTCTTGATCCACGTTGAAGCTTGTAAAGTCGAACTCTTGCATGGCAGCATCTTGGAGAAGTAGGTCAACCCATACTGCCGTTGCGTTTTCCAAATTCGCCCCATAAGAGCTGTTTGTTGTAGCTGAGTTGTGAGGCGTAATACCCGTGCATCTTGTCTCTGGAAGATGCTCCGGACCTCCAGCCTGAACACTGGGTGTTTCATTGATGTGAAAAGCTGGCGATGTCTCATCTTGGGCTCCAACACTAAGACCGGCGTCCGGCGTCGTATTAGGTATGTTCAGTTGCGGCTGTTCATCCCATGATACTACAGGTGCGGAAATAGTCTCCTCATCGTTGACTGCTGGAGGTGTTTCTTGGGGCTCTGGGGATTGCTGCTCGGGGCTGACTGATCGCGGAGGCAAAGAAGACTCTTGTTGTGCTGCATCGCTCTCATGTTGAGTGTGAGCCACATCTCCGGGACTGCTTGTGCGTTTTCTGTTTGGTGGTCGCCGTGGCGCATAGATACAGATGTGTTTGGTCCTTTCACAACCTCCGCAAGTAGGCTTTTTCTCATCGCACTTGACGTGGCGGCGACGGCAGGTTGCGCTGTGCGGTATGTGTTTAGCCAACGAAATATGAAACCATACGTCCGATGGATTAGAGGATAAATAGGTGTATTACCATCCAGTTGTGTTTCTCAAGCCGCGGCCTCTGGTCAGTCGACCTCTTGTGAAGTATCGTTTAGTTCCCTCCTCCTCGATCACCATGTTGTGGAATTCAGTGGATACTTTGCGCCCTGACAGATATTGGAACGATAACTGTACTCGAAGTCACGGATGGCAGAGACCAAGACTGCGGTGATACCTGGTGGCATCATTCGTGGGGTCATTGAAAGCAACTTTGGGAGAATCCGAGCAGCGTGAAGGAAGCCGCAGCGCATGGAGATCTTGCAGCCGGTGCGGGGTAATCTGGGGCAACGGTCCACAATTTGGAGACCCGAGCTTGGGTTCCGGATGTTCCGCAACGGCCCGGTGGGCGGCCGGCGCTGGCGCCGATGTTGTCTGGTGTGTGAATGCAATATAGCCCTCAGAGGCTATTATCTGTTGGTCGAGAGACGAAATTCGAAGGCCTCTGGCGGCGTGGTCGAGACGAGACGAAGTCTATCTTCTTGTCGACCTGTAACACCGACAAATTGGCTCGCATACATCGGGTTTCCCTCGAGACGAGGGAGTGGGACCTTCACTGGTACGTTGGTCATGCGGGGTAGACCACATCGTTTTTCCCAGGGTAACTCACCCCGCAGGTTCGATTCAAGTAGTCTGCTCTTCCGCCGTCCTTGAGTCTCAGTACCGTTGATGACAAGAGGGGCTACTCAATTCTTTAGCATCCATCGTTCTCACAATGGCTCTGTCTAGTTGCCGTCTGTTGAGAGGCAAAATCGCTGCCATCACAGGAGGCACAACTGGTATCGGCCGTGCGATTACTTTGGAATATCTGAGACAGGGAGCCAATGTCGCTGTAAATCATTTGGGCCTGCCCCAAGACGAGAAGCATCGACACAGTCTATTGGAGGAGGCGGAAAGTCTCGCAAAAGCTGGCACCAAAGATCAACCGACTGGCCAGCTGATAGAACTTGCCGGAGACGTCACGAACCCCGAGACTGGCAAAACTCTTGTCAGTGCAGCAGTCAAGAAATGGGGTGGACTTGACGTTTTTGTTGCCAATGCAGGAATTTTCAAGGCTGCGGAGTTTCTCACGTACGTGGGCCCTTCTTTGCATCATTCTCAGCCTCGAGGTTACTAACTTTGTGAGAACTCAGTCTTGAAAAAGAAGTATTCGACAAAAGCATGCAAGTCAACGTCAACGGGGCGTTCTACTCCTGTCAGGCGGCGGCCAACCAGATGGTGAAGCAAGGACGCGGCGGATCGATCATTGGAATATCATCAATATCTGCCCTCGTCGGTGGCGGCCTACAAACTCACTACACACCCACAAAAGCCGCTGTATTGTCCATGATACAGTCAATGGCAATTGCGTTGGCAAAAGACAAGATTCGGTGTAATGCATTGTTGCCAGGCACGATTCATACACAACTGGCGGAGCCTGATATGCAGAATGAGGAAAAGCGCAAATATCTCCAGCAGCGCATACCCATGGGTGTTGGAAAGCCCCAAGATTTGGCCGGGCCAGCAGTCTTCTTGGCCTGTCCGGAGCTGAGCGGATTCATGACGGGATCGCAGGTGCTCGTTGACGGAGGAATGTTTGTAAATTTGCAGTAATCGAATCTGCTTGCTACTGAGCTGAAGGTTTTATACCGTAAATGAGATATTATGACCATGACTACTTGTTCAATGAAGTGAAGGCATCATCTGATCTAATTTTGGAATTATTCAAAGGCTTACTCTTGCCAGCGGCCCGCTATCCCTTCGGGGAATGGCGTGGACAAATATCCCGGGTTGCCTGCGGCATCCTACAGAGCCGCAAATGGAGTCGGGGGCTTCAAATATTCGTGGTAGACGTGCTGCACCTGTATCAGCCCTACTAATCATTCCTAGATCTCTTCTCGTTGTTGTGGGCCGGCATACCTTGTATTGGTTCCATGGTTATGCATGTTGACTGTCATCGCCGGACCAGCTTAGTGGATTTCCGGCTCACAGGATCCATCTGCAAGGTGCGGTGAACATGCTTACCAGGGAACGTTGAAGGAAATGAGACCATGTGCGGCAAATGTCTCGATGCAGCCATCATTCGCGCGCGGGCTCATCTTCGTGGGATTGATTTCGATTTGTCGTGTTTTGTCAAGGCCAGCGGCGCCTATGTCATCAGCTTACGGAAGCTGGTAACGAGTTCGCCAAGACCTTAAATCCCGCAATCCTACGTCAAAACCAAGAGATTCAGTCCCATCGGCGATGCCCTGCAGATGACATCGCACGGTGGTGCTCCACTTAGCCGTTGCTTACCTACCCGGCGCGCCAGAGTGCCAGTCTGACCGACCCCATCCTCAAGACTTAGTCATGGCTCATGAAAGCAGAAACACCATTCCATTGCTGTGTATATCGTGAATATAGTTGATGATCAGGAAGCTTAGCAAGTTCTTCATGCTGGTTCTAGAAGGAAAATGCACCCCAGGCCGCGCGCTAATTAGTACAGCGTGAGTAAGACTATGAAGCCGGTGTCAAGAAATGCAATGATTATGAAGCGGTTGGAGCAAATTGATATCTCGGAGGCAGCGACAAATGCATTTCTTGCTAGGTGTATGTGGGCGTTTTCACGCGCGGGAAGGTTAGGTTGGCAACGACAGGGGGGGCCACGAGCAGCGAGGCGCAAGTAGGAACATCCTTGGACTAAATGTTTGCCCCGAGTCCCCGCCCACGATGTCAGTCATTGAGTAGCTAAATTAAGTGCTTAATTATTGACCATCCTTTATCCAGCTTCCATGATGATCCAGTGCTCACAAAGACAAAAGATATTTTGTAATGTGTCTTAGTAAACAGTGGAAGAGCACTGCCATCTGAAGTCGTGGTCGATGAGAAGCAACCACCGAGTCAATTCACTGGAAACTCTCAACCTAGCCTCGTCGAACAGAGAACATATAAAAACTGGCATGCCTTTTTGAAGGATGTTTCCTCGGCAATAGACTTTTATCCACTCTTCGATCTTCCACTACCAAGCAACAAAATCATCTAACGACAATGTCGACCTTGAACAGTAAGAACGGAACTCAGAGCCGCAGAGCCTCGACTTCGGGAGGCGAAGCAGCAGAAGCTTCAGTCTCGGGGGAGTTTACACCAGAAGAGCAGAAGAGAATCATGAGGCGGGTTGACATTCGTGTCGTAGCCACTGTCGGGCTTTTGTATTGCTTTTCTGTCATTGACCGATCGAACCTACCTTCCGCCGCCGTTGCTGGCATGACAGAAGATTTGGGCCTGATTGGGAACCGTTATGTAAGTCACCTGAATGGGCAGGTTTTGGACTCCTTGGAATTCGTTTCCGACTTGAACAAAAGTATCGGGGATGTCAACTCTAACGTTAATTTCAATAAAGTCGTTTATTAGTCTTGTCTTCTTCACGACATATACTACCTTCCAGCCAATTTCAATCATACTCGCTCGGATCATTGGCCCAAGAGCATATTTCATAGGCGTCACAATGATTTGCGGGTTTGTTGTCATCGGCATGGCCTTCCTCAAACATTGGGGCCAGATGGTTGCTCTGAGAGTCATTCTTGGGGCTCTTGACTCCGGTTTCTTCCCCACTTGTGTTTACCTTCTCAGTACCTGGTACACTCGCTGTGAGTCTACATTACCTGAACATAAATAGCTTGAGATATTGATCTGCCATAGACGAGGTCGGCAAGCGCTACTCAGCCTTTTACATTGTGGTGTGTCTCGCCACAGCGTTCTCTGGAATCCTGGCATTTGGGGTATGGTGTTCTCATTCTATATCAAAGTGGGTGCCTAAAACTAACTGGGTAGAACAGTTCACCAAATTGGAAGGACAGGCGGGACTCAGGGGTTGGTCATGGATTTTCCTCATGGAAGGCATCATCACCTGTTGTCTCGGAGTCCTTTGCTATTTCGTGTTGGTCGGTTTCCCCGACTCCAAAAAGCGAACCTGGGGGTTTCTGTCTCAGCAAGAGATTGCATGGGTTGTGTCTCGTGTTCAAGAAGATCGCGGGGATGCAAAGCTCCCCGCTCTTGGTGTGAAAGGATTTCTGCGAGGCGGGGCTGATGTCAAGGTCTGGGCATTTGCATTGATTTACTTCAATCAGGCCCTTGTCAACTTTGGTGCGTTGTTGAGTTTTCGAGTATCCATGGCTTGAACTAACACCACATTTCTTCAGCTTTGTCATTCTTTCTCCCCATTATCTTGAAGGAGAACATGGGCTTCAGCACTGGCAAAGCCCAGATCATGATCGCCCCACCGTACGTTCTCGGTGCGATTCTCATGTGGATCTCCGGGTGGCTAGGAGATCGCTTCATGGTACGTGGTCCCATTATCATAGGAGACATGGTTGTCGCCATTGTTGGAACCGCTCTGGTCGGATTCCATAACGACGTGGCTGTACGCTACACCGGTGTCTTTTTTCTTACTGCCGGCTCTTTTTCTTCTATTCCTGTCGTCATGGCCTATCAAGCAAATAACATCCGAGGACAATGGAAGCGGGCATTCTCTAGCGGCCTGGTCGTTGCGTTCGGTGGTGTTGGCGGCATTGCCGGTTCTCTCATTTTCCGGTGAGTATTCATTTCAGAAGCCCGTCATTTCAGCACCCGTTTCAAACTCGACGCAACCACAGACTCTGATCAAATTACAGGAGTCAAGATAAGCCCAGGTATCTCCCAGGCTTAAGCACCTGCATGGGATGTGCCGTCTTGAATATCATCATTATTCTCGGCCTCAGCGCTTACTTTTACTACTGGAACGCTAGGGCTGAGCGTGGTGAGGTTGAGCTTGAAGCCTCAGAGGCAAGTACCATAAATTCACCTCATATTGACAGGCAATTTGATTCTGACTTGCTCCTATTTTCATCCAGGAAACTGATGCCTCCGATTTCCGATACACTTACTGAATTATTTCGAAGAAGAATCATTATGGTCACCAGAGTAAAGCATGAACCTGATCAGAGGTTCGTATTATTTGGTCAAAACGATTGAAACCACCGACTGGTGGTCGACTGCTATTACTGGAGGAACCCAACTGCGCAAGACATACTTGTACCACTCTCTCATTACTCATCATGTGCCTTATAACCATCAAATCGTTACCGAGAAAATAAAATAGCAACCCTTCAACGCACGGCTCGCTGTTGCCGTCTCATCAAGAAAGACTTGCGATGCTGTTCTTCGATCCCAAACTCAGTGACATTCGTTTCCACCGTTTTGAGAAGCTGGAAACCTAACTTCTGATACATCGGCTGCGCGGCCATGGTAGCCATAACCCAAACCTTCATTCCAACAGCATCTGCTTGCTCTAGACCCTTTTTGACAAGGGCGGACGCAATCCCTTTCCGTCTGTATTGCGGATGCACTGTCAGATAGTCGAGGACTTTCAAAGTTAGTCTTGACTCACTTCCGAGTGCTATGGTGCAAGTATTGAGGTAACTGAACCGAATGGGGCCAACATACCCAGAAATGGTCCTTCTTGGGATTTCATGAGTTCAATCTCTGCATTCTCGAGGGGGAGACCAAGAGCCTCTTGCAGACGCCGATCCAACCCTGGAATCATACCCTCCTCGGTGTTGGCTTGGAACTTGGCCTTGAAACTTTCTGATTCATCGTCGGTTGGTTCTCGGACAAGTGCCTCTGGCCATTTCAATGTGCTCCTGGCATCAGGCAGAATCCACCGAGCATACCCAATAATTTCACCAGTGTCGTCATCAGTGGCTTTCAAATGACGCTTTCCTTCGCGGCCTGATGCAAGACCATGCGGCATTCGAGCAGCGGCACCTCTAATGATTTCTTCTAGTGTGGTCGACTTCCAAAGAGCTCGCCAGTGGGCGTCGGTATGGTAAAATGCCGTCATGTTGTTCTTGGAAACCCCTTGAGCGTCATCATAGTCGACGGCAGATATCGTGAAAGTCATCTTCTTGTGGGTGAGATATCGACTAGGGATATCTCAACAAAGCCGGCCCTCAAAAATGAAGTAATAACAAAGACACTGATGTTTGGCACAGACCTTGGAGTTGGATGGTCAATTTTTCAAAATAGGCCATCTGGTCTTTTTATACGATGCCTTATTTTCTTTTCCAAGGACACTCGCACATAATCTCGTCATGAGTAAAAATACGTGTTGTCTTGTAAACACAGATCATATGAGTCCGAGAAACAAGAGGGGAGAGCGTGGTGTTATCGCATCGTCAGCCGGACCCCTGCCAGTAACTTGATTGTACGTGGCCTTTTGTAAGCCGGCTACAAGCGGCAGCTCAAACACCTCCAGGCCCAGGTCTTACACCATCATCACAGTTGCTAACGCAGGTAGTGGGCGATAAGCACGAAGTGGTTTGAAAATATTGACGGGACCCTTGATCGCCTATATGCACCTTCCAGTTGACTAGTTACTCATACGAGCCAGAAGCACGTATCAGCTTTCCGTAAGGGGGCCATGGTGACAGTGAATGGACTGACACCCCGTGCCTCCAGACTCAGTGATAAGATCCATGTACGTCAATCCTCGCTTAGAAGCCGTCTGACCCAACATATCATGTCTACCAGCGCTGACTCATCCTGGCTGGGCGCTAAACCTGCTGCCTCAGAAGTCGTCGATTTCTCCTTTGTCTACGGATAGACCCCACTCGTTCAACACCACTATGATGAGTGATTGCCTGCACGAAGGCAACCATCTATCGATCAAGATTCCTGCTGGTTTTAATTCCTCCCATTGGGCGCTGTCACCAACGCGATGTCCTTGTGCCTGCAGCCTATCAAAGCCTTTCTCCAATCACATTTGGCAGCCAGAAGCGAAGGATGTGCCGAAATGCAGGGAGCAACACATTGCGACTTTTGCAAAAGATTCATTTCCACGATGAAAAGAAAGCCAACTGGCCACGTATCTCTTGACCTCGAGCCTTTCAATCAAGTTGTGTCTTCAACATGCACTCGCCATCGACCACTATTGGAGAAGATAACGAGCTGGTTAGACTTGCAAGAGGGAGTCACAGAACCACTGCACCTTTTCAGAAACTACTTCGATTATTCAGTCAGTTTTTCGCTGAAAGATATTTATGATCAATCATCGCCTTCGTTAGATGTATTGGAAAGCCCCGACGGAAAGCAATTTGTTGGATATGGGATCCAACTTGATCCATCCTGGATCGACCACAAGACTCTTATTCGGTGGTACGACACATGCACGTCTGGCCACGGAGACAGGTGCAGTAAACCCGAGTATCTTGGGTACCTTCCCAAACCTGAGCTGAGAATTCTGATCGACGTCACGGAAAATTGTTTGACTCCAGCCCCTGAAAATGCTTCTTACATGGCGCTCAGTTACGTCTGGGGCAAAGTTGATATGCCAAAAACGGTCACAGCAAACCTGTCTCAACTACAAAAGCTAGGGGCCTTGAACAACACTGTTCTTCCAAAAACAATCCGCCATGCTATGTATCTGACTAGACTGCTTGGCGAGCGTTATCTTTGGGTGGACAGCCTCTGCATTGTGCAGGACGATGAAGAATTCCTCAACGGTCATCTAGGCCGAATGGCATCCATCTTCGCCCATGCTCAAGCTGTCATCGTCCCAATTGACGGAGAGAATGCCAAAAGTGGGATTCCGGGGTTGGAAGAGGCGCCTGCGGCGCAACCCAGGCACCTTGAGCAGGAGACTATTCCATTTGGGGAGAGGTCGCTTCTTATTCGTACCAAGATGGGTCTGCGTGGAAGGGGAGAATCTTCATCCAAAAAGGCTGACTACTTCGATCGTGGATGGACGTTTCAAGAGTATCTGTTCGCACGAAGACGCATATGCTTCGAGAATAGTAGCGTATGGTTTCAGTGCTGTCAATCTACCCAGTACGAAGACCACAGCCATCCGGACCTTCCCGACCGCAATCGCGACTTCTTGTTGGATGTTGGGTACCCATCGCTCACCGTCTTTTCACGCCTAGTGGAAGATTTCAACCAAAGACAACTCAGCTACCCGCAAGACTGTCTCGCTGCAATAGCGGGAATGCTTCCATGTTACTCAAGGGCATTCAAGGGAGGGTTTCTTTGCGGGCTCCCAGAGATGTTTTTCGATGCAACTTTACTTTGGCAGCCTGGAGATGATCTTGTACGTCGCGTACCAGTTGACACAGGCACAACACGTGGCGGCATCAACAGCGGGAGCCTACCTACCTGGTCCTGGGTAGGATGGCAAGGCCGTCTCGATTTTGCGGGTTGGGCAACAGGGAATGACTTCGTGGCCGCATGCAGCGGCTGGATCGCCTCTTCACGGCAACAAATTATCCCAATAACCAAATGGTTCACCAGCTCTGATGTCACTGGCAGGACTGGCAAGAGACCGGTGGAAGTTGAGTGGGCGCTATGGAGAGATCGCCACAAAGACCCAAAGTGTCCCCTCCCTTCAGGGTGGACACGAAGAAGGCGGCAAAAAGGCGAGAGCTTGACCATAGAGGAATTTCCCGACGGTTTCAGCGAGTATTTGTACAAGCACGAGTCTTGCGCAGCACGGTTTTGGTACCCTATACCTCTCTCGGATCCAGACTACCCGCACCAGCAAAAGGTTTCCAGCTTCTCTGAGGCGACATACCTCTCTGGCTCCGTGCAAACGGCACATCTTTCAGCTTCAGGCGCAGTATGGATGCATGAAGAGATAACTAGCATGGGGCCAGTTAATCCATCAACTGCTCATGTGTCGATGCGCACTTCTCAGAACGAATGGGCCGGGGTGATACGACTGCACAGCCGGGATCACTTCGAAAGACAAGGTTTGGACCCGGCGAAAAGTCCTGTTGAGCTGCAGCTGATTGCTATATCTCGGGGTTTCATCGCAAATGGCCTTGAGACTTATGTTGCAAGAGAAATTCCAGAGTATGTTTTGGAAGAACGACCAAAGGCTGGCGAGAAGTATGAATTTTACAATATCATGTGGATCAGCTGGAGGAATGGGATTGCTTATCGAGAGGGCCTTGGTCGGGTGCACAAAGACAAGTGGGATTCTCTCCAGGTCTCAAGTATTGATATCGTACTTGGATAATCTTAATAATGAGGACATTGTTGCCAACTATTTCTAATAGTCTATATGTAGTGGTACCCGAGGGTATTTCGGTCAAGATTTCCAGTCGCATACCTGAGAGAACCCCTCATACTGTCTGCTTAAGTCGGCCAAGCATGAAAGCATCGAGGTACTCCAAACTTGACTTCAAATCAGATTTGAGCAGAGACTTTGCCGCCGTCATGGGTAGTCTCTCGGGAGCGGGATATGCTAGGTATGGTAAGGAACGAGTCCTATGGGCGGCGCGAAACACCTATTTGATGTCAATATCAATCGTCTTTCCGATGAGACACTCGGTGGCAAACTTACTCTAAGGCGCTTTACAACGTCCTCCATCTCTTCCGCAATCCGCACATGGAGCTTGTTTTCGGGAGAAAGCTGGTCTCTAAAAGAATGCTTCCGGAAGGCTTTGCCTAGTGCGCGCTGCCTTACAGGCACACTACGCTCCAGGTCTTCCTCTGATAGGTAAGGTTCGAGACCAAGGAAGGCGTCCAACGCCTGGAAAAGCAAGACTTGGTTTCCGCTCAAGCCGTTGAATCGAACGTCGGGCTGCTCTTTGTTGCCGGCACTCCAAGCAAAAAAGCTCTGTACTCTTGAAAGCCACACCGACCGAGGGATGCGAGTTTCATGCATACGGTCGTAATAGCTTTTCAGTACTGTCCTCAACTTTGTGCCAACAGCCGCCACATGACGCGCACACTCTGCCATGTCGCCTCTTGTCCAAGTGACAGTGGCTTCAAGCATCTCATAGTAAACGGACACGGCCCGGACTTCGGTTTCGTGGAAAATACGTGCGAACGCCTCTTCGGCCGCAACGATGTGTGGCGTCATACCAGTGTTAGCTCGAAACATGTATTCGCCATCGACGTCGAAGTTCAATATCAGATTACTGGTATTGTTTCCAGCATCAGATGCGCAATCAAAACGTCGCTGCATGTACTTCCACGGAAGCACGAGCTCCTCAGGCAAGTCGACCTGCGTCTCTATCTGAGCTACTTTCACAACCGGAATAGTAGCCCATCGATACGCATGCCTGCAGGAAGCTATGCAGCAATAGAAGGCGTTGTATACATCTTGAGGCATCGCGTTCCACTGGCCGGCCTCAGTGCTGCTCAGAAGACCTTCGACTTGGGACAGGTCAACTTCTTCCCGAAGGAGTGTTCGGAATCGGGAGCGAAACTCGGCGATGCGGGCGAGATTGACGTTGTCGTCCAGAGAAGGGTTGGCCTGTGGGATTTGGGGAGCCAGGTCCATGTAAATCTTCCGGTACGGCCGCAGAGCTTCGGGCCAGGCTCCGAGAGCATGGTTCGCTCGGGGTGGCCAGGACCCGGCTCCATCGTTCTTGACAAGATCGGAGAGCACAGCGGCTATCTCGTGACGGCCAGCGATTCTTTTGATATTTTCGATGTTTCTGTCTCTCAATTCTTCGTCGGTCTCTTCGGAGACTGGTTTCTCATCCAAGACCTTGGGTCGTTTGTACGACCAGAAAAGTTTCCATACCCGGGACGCCAGACAAGCAGCCCCAAGGCAACAGAAATATGTGATGAAGATTTCCGCTCTCATTATATCAGGCTCTTACTGAAGGAGATTCGATGTTGACGGACGATGCAGTTGACCCTGGGGAAGGCTGAGGAGATAGAAATGAGTGAAGAGAGGCAGTGTGTCACGCCAAATGTAGACGGAATGACGGGAGTATAAATAGTCGGCTCCGGATCACCAGCACTCTCTCGATCAAATCCAGTTGCCTCATCCTGACCTCATTTGCGACACCGAAACTGCGGGCACATGTGTGACTACCTAGCTGTGCCTCCTATCACCAGAACCCACAAGTGACTGTGCCCCATCCACGCGCCTTTCTTCACCCGGCATCGATGCCCAAAAGAGGTTCATTAAGCGCAATCTCCAGTTTAATCCAAGCTGTTACGCCCGAACTCGAAAATGAGGACTTTTCCACAACCAATCATACCTGAAAAATTGCAACTCAAGGTTGGGGGCGTTTGAACCTCAAAAGTCTAGATTTTGATACGGGCGTAGTAGGCGACCCACCCACATACAAGAATGAAATTCCAACAAGATGGGAGCCTAAAAGTCGTTGTGGCCTCAATCCCAACTAAGAATAGGACATGGCTAGCATCGGAATGACAAAGACTGGATTTCAGCCATCCTGCTTCCCAAATTCCGTAAATGGCAGAATGTTTCGAAAACGAAAATATAGTCAGCCTAACGGAACTAGACCACAACGATTTGCTTTGGAATCAGCAGCGTCAGCAGTAAGAATCTGTGAAGATTAAAAGCTCGAAAACGGAGTCGAGATTGACATTTTGATGGATGTGTTAGTTCACAAAGTTAGAATTTGGCTACTAGAGAACCTTCTCATGATTACTCCCTGCTATGACAACATGATTACAAGATCGCGGCGGTTAGACGTTCTCCTCTGAGACTAAACCATTAGGCGAACCTCGTGACGACAGGACTCTCGAGAGATCCCGGTACTTTCTTTCAAAATGGCTATAAGAGGAATCACGTATCAAGATCGTAGTTGTTTCTTGGTCCAATCTTTTTGAATCAGTGTTTATCTGGAAGACGGGCAACCGGTCTTGCCCTTTCGGCAAGTGTTGAATCTTGATGTAAATCTCGGTAAATCTTAGAATGAGCAGCTTTTCGGGAGCCTCTATCTCGCTGGATTTATAGGCCACAGCAATGGGTACATCTAGTGCCTTTGATGGGAGGCAACTTACCTAGTCACTTAGGTAGTCACAGAAATTATCAGCCATCCTCGATCACTATTGATTTCGTTTGGTTTTAGCCGCAGGTACTTTGCGCCAGTCTGTCCAAGGAGGAGTTTGGAAACCGATTACTACTAAGCTGAAAATCATGTTTTCCCGTGTGCCAATTCCATCCGAAAGTTTGCAAATCTCAAGCTCAGCCACGAATGGTGAGACATAGATTGGACGGCCTAGTTGAACGACTAGCACAGTGCTTTATGCTAATGAAGGTTGTAATTCTGGTTAACATGCTCAAGGTGCTGGCTTCAAGGTTACGTCAAAGTTTTGCTGGAGTTTCTTCTCGCATCTCCACATGTGGACGTGCATGGAGGCAGCCATCTGCGGCCTAAAGTTGTACTTCTCAGATCTAATTCGTCAGTCTCCCAAGATTCCATCTTGATGGTGACATGCAAGAAGATGCAATCCAATACCATACCAGTGGAACGGCTGTACCACGTGTTCATTCCCGTAGATGCGTGTAGTTCCGCAATAGAAGCCCTGATATTGCATGCTGCGATTTGGGCACATGCAGCAGGATAACCCTCTAATCAACTGATGCATATTCGATCCAGACCATAATAGATCGGATGGATCAAAGCACACACGAATCATGTTCAGACCAGACGTCGGAATTACTGACGGCCACAGCTGACCTAGCGGGACCAGGAGTACGCTCGGTCTAGTTCCACCTGAAGCCAGAAAGCGCCTTACCCGCTCAACTAGCCAATGGGTCCATGAAACTCAAGCCATATGTTCGCTGTCCAATGACCAGAGGAAACGAAAACGTCCCCGTCTTCCTGCAGTGCGATCAAATCCGGAGCCACGATATTGTGCTGGTTGCAGAGCGCGTAACAGATATCGAACTCTCCATCCACTCACCGGACTAGCTTGCATTGCAACACGAAATATTGGTGCTCATAAACACGTCATGTGGGAAGCAATCAGGCAGGACAAAAGCCCGTGGTATCGCTACCGCTTTTAGCCAGCCTAAAAGCAATGCCTCCCACAAATGCTTGACTGCATGCCCAGAACTCACTTTTTCTCCGCAAGTACCCGACAGTGCACTTCCCGACCCCTCTATTTCATGTTGGCGCTTTAATCAGTTTCGTCGGACTGTTTTTGCCGTGGCAAATGATCAACTGCCGTTGGTTAGACGTCGTTCGATAGCGCACGTACAGGGGCGCGGATCCCTCTCAACCCCATGCACCCCGCAGGCCCGGTCTGGCAGGTCATCCGTTGTGTTGTTGGCCGTGCGGGGTGATACGGATATGTGTATGGGACGATCACAGAACTTCTGTTCGACAGCTTGATAGCGCAACGTTGAACCGAAGTAATGCAACGTTGTTGGGGGTTTGGTGAGGAGATGGAGGAGATAGCGGTGCTTCCCCTTGTCGAACGACCTATCTCGCCCGACAGCTGGGCCGAGACCCCGACTCCCCCGCCTCTGCATCCGCCACCAACTCTAAGTCGGGAGACGGGTTTTCCGACATATATTGTCGGAGCTGTCCCCGCGCTCCGAACGATGTAGAATTGTCAGTCCGGTGTTCATCTCTTTCTCTGAGTTGTCTCGTCAATTACTTTCACCGGGGCCCGGACGGACGGCACCACCGCGTGGAGTTCTGAAGCCAAAATGTCCGGAAAAGCGGAGATCACCGCCGACCAGCCGTCCCCGGCCGCGGACGATATCGAGAAGATCCCGGCCAAAGTTGAGAGCAATGAGCGGATCGGGGACCAGATCTCCCATGAGAAACTGGAGGAATTGGCACCAAACGGCGAGCATGAGTACGTCTTGGAAAAGATCAATGGCATGACGGAGGAAGAGGCGATCGAGATCATCGAAGAGAGCGTGGAGTTCTTCAAGGACGACTGGAACTTTCCCTCTGATATGCGAGAGCGGATGAAAAGACTCCTCGAGGGACCGAAAGCGTATGGCGAGTTTTACGACCGCGATCTAAGGATCGACGCGGTCATGATCCGCTACTCGTCTCCTTACCCCGGCGTCCGCGCCGTTGCCGAGATTCTGGACGACCAAAACGTTCCGATCGAAACCATCCGGGCCTATTTCCTGGGCATTGGATGGGCTGTCATCGGCACCTTCATCTCGACATTTTTCAACTCCAGGTTCCCTGCCATTTGTGAGTCTCCTGGGATTTATAGGCGTCATGCTAGTGCTACTTTTGCCTTTTTGTCTTCTCGCTAATCTCTTGGACGTGTAGCTTTGAGCGGACAGGTCATCCAGATTCTATTATTCCCATGCGCAAAAGTTCTGGAGTTCATCCTGCCTGACTGGGGCTTCACAGCTTTCGGTGTCCGCCACTCCTTGAACCCAGGTCCGTGGACTTTCAAGGAGCAAATGTTCGCGACCATCACTTACAACATCGCCATTTACACGACCAACAGTTATGGAATGATCCTCGTTCAAAAGTCGCCAGTCTACTACGGCCTTGATTTCGTCAATTTCGGCTACCAAATCATGTTGACGCTGTTCGTACAGCTCATGGGTATGGGTTTCGCAGGATACCTCCGCCGGTTCAGCGTCTATCCCGTCAAGGCACTGTGGCCGACCATTTTGCCGACCATTGCTATGAACCGGGCGCTTACCCGGCCAGAGCCCAGGGAGAACATCAACGGATGGACAATTTCTCGTTACAAGTTCTTCTACGTCTGTACCATTTGCATGTTCTTCTACTACTGGATTCCCGGGTACTTGTTCACCGCTTTGGCGACCTTCAACTGGATGACCTGGATTTCGCCCCAGAATGTTACCCTCGCAATCATCACTGGGTCTTCCCTTGGATTGGGGCTGTTTAACCCCATCACTACGTTCGATTGGAATATCGCCACGTCCTCGTATGCAGCGTTGTCTATGCCATTCTTCGCGACTTGCACCCGTATGTTGCCTCAAAACACCCCAGACGGTGTAATTGACTGACATTGAGACTAGAATACTGCGGCGCCATTCTCGGCGGAGTCATCATTCTTGGAATTTACTATACCAACATGTACAACACGGCATATCTTCCCATCAACTCGTCCTCGCCGTTTGCCAACGACGGCACCCCATATGTGGTCCAAAACGTGGTCGTCGACAACAAGCTGAATGAGACTCTCTACCAAGACTACTCCCCTCCGTTTTACTCAGCCGGCTATCTCATCACAGTTGGAGGCAACTACTGCTTCTACCCGATTTACTTCCTCTACATCATGGGTTGGTTATATCAGCTGCGCCAATTCTCGCTGGACCTGAGCTAATATGTTGCAGGCAACCAATGGAAGACCATTTCTGCAGCCTACGTTGATTTCTACAAGGGTCTTCGTTATAAGAAAGGCAACTACGATGGCGCGATGGACGTCCACAGCAGACTCATGGCCAAGTACAAGGAGGTCCCCGACTGGTGGTTCCTCCTGATTCTCGTAGCCGCCATCGTCGTCTCCTGCATATTCCTCAGCATCTACCCGCTCGACACACCCATCTGGATCACGTTCCTCATGATCGCCATCAACTTGGTCTTCGCCGTCCCTCTCTCGTTCCTCTCGGCGACGACGGGAACCAACCTGGGTCTCGGCGCGTTGATCCAGGTCATCACCGGCTACATGCTCCCCGGCAACACCAACGCTTTCCTCTTCTCGCAGACTTTGGGCTCTTGGGCGCTCGCGGGTTATGGTGATAACTACGTGCAAGACCAGAAGATGGCTCACTACACGAAGATCGCACCGCGCGCGGTGTTCAGAAGTCAGATTGGGACCATCATCATCACCTGCTTTGTCGCTGTGGCGACCCAAAACTTCATTTTGGAGAATGTCAAGGGGCTTTGCACGCCCAACCAGCCGAGCCGATTCACCTGCGCAAACGACGGTGCACCGCTCTACACCAACTCTCTGGTTCGTTCAACAAACATGCCTACGCTACGAACAAGAATACTGACAACCGACTAGATGTGGGGTCTTTTGGGCTCAGAGCGCATGTTCGTCTCATTCTACCCAATCCTCAAGTGTAAGTCCCACTACACCCAACGTCAGAGACCTGGCTGACACCAAATTTGCAGGGTGCTTCCTCATCGGCACGCTCATCGCCATCGTTTTCCTGGTCGGCCAAGGATACGGCCCCAAGTACCTGCCCGGCGTCCGCGAGAAGCTGCGCGTCAAGCTCAGCCCCAAGACGTTTGCCCTCCTCGACCGGACCCTGTTCCCCTTCGTCGCCTCACTTCTCTGGCTCAACCCCGTTCTCGTCATTCAAGGCATTCAGCACTGGGCGCCGTCCAACCTTTCGTACAAGACGCCCGGGATGATTCTGGGTTTCATCTTCATGTACTGGCTACCCCGGCACAGGCTGGCTTGGTGGGAAAAGTACAACTACGTCCTGTCAGCCGCTTTGACTGCCGGCGTGGCGGTCTCGGCGCTCGTCATGTTCTTCGCCGTCGGCTATAATCCTATAGCCCTGAAATGGTGGGGGAACACGGTGAGTGGTGCAGGAGTAGACGGCAGTCAGGTCGGGATTCTGCCAATCCCAGAAAGGGGCTATTTTGGACCAGAGAAGGGAGCGTTCTAGACGTCTTGAGACAATAAGGAGCAGTCCATCGACATAGCCAACTGATGTGGGAAGAGCTATCGTGTCCGGCATTTCGTCGGGTTCTCCGGACTCTGGCGGAGACGCACCCCCGTGGGGGCCGGAGGAGGTGGAGCCGTCACGGGATCTTGGCTCAATGCGGTCTCCTGGCGCCGCCGTTTGACATTAAGAGTTAAGCCCCTTAATCCAAAAGTATCAAGCATGACTCCTTAAGTACTCGGGCTTTCTCGATGTGACCCGCAGCGGTTATGAAGAAGGGTAAGTACTTTTGTGGCATGTAAATATCTGGAAAAGTATGGACAAGAAGATGGCTCTCATAGCTGAGCCGACATGTGCGAACTCCAATCCCAATGTGAACGCCGTTCTAACCGCAGCAGGGCTGCATGCAATGAAACGTAATCTGACAAGTCATGAGTGCGGTGCTTTGCATGTGCATGGCACTGTTTACTGCTGGTTGAACAGGTACACGTTCTGCTCAAGTTGGCGGGTGTTGAGCTGCAGCATGTTAGCGATGACTCGGCAATGACGGACAATCATAGGACTTACGAAGCTCATGCTGATGTTGTGGAGGTTGGTAGCACCCATCTGAGCGCCGTCACGGACGATCTCAGTCTTCATGATGTTGATGGCCTTGGTGACACCCTCGAGGCCGTAGCAGTTGGCGTACATGAAACTTCGCCCAGTTAGCGGATAGGGTCTGGATATAGATAAGACGGGATTGACTTACGGACGACCCATGCCGACAGCCTTGACACCGAGAGCAAGAAGCTTCAGGACATCGTTGCCGTAGCGGACACCAGAGTCAGCGATGACATCAACCTTCTGGAAGACCTCGGGCGCGTTGCGGTAGATCTCGTAAGCGATCTCGAGGGGTCCAGGGGTGTGGTCAAGCTGGCGGCCACCGTGGTTAGAGATGTAGATGGCCTTGGCACCCTTCTCGACGGCGAGCAGAGCCTCGTCGGCGGTGGTGATACCCTTAAGAATGATGGGCAGGCTGGTCTGGTTCTTCATCTGGTCGTAGATGTCCCAGGTGAGAGCGGAGGAGACAGAGTTGGCGTTGGTGGTGTCGTAGCGGGCGGCGCGGTGGCGGACAGAGTCGCCGGGGGCGTCGATGGTCCAGACAATGGCCTTGGCGCCAGTGCGCTCGGCACGGCGGATGTTCTCCCAGGTGACGGACAGGTTGCCGTTGGTGTAGATCTGCTGGAAGATGACCTGGGGGCCGTTGAGGGTGTTGTTGCTCTTGCCGGTGGCGATCTCCTCGATGGACTTGGAGGCATACATGGAGGGCTATCGCCGCATTAGCTTGTGATGTTGCCAATTATCCTTCAGGGCTATGACTTACGACATAGAGAATGTTCTCGTTGCCAGCAGCGCGGACGAGGTTCAGCTCGGCAGCCTCATCTCCGTAGGCGGCGCGCGCAGCAGGCGCGATGAAGATGGGGGCACTGAAGTTGTAGCCCAGGATAGTGACGCTGTTGGAACGTGTTAGTCAAAAAGCATTCTTGTCCTGTGTAGTAGTCGTCGTCACATACGGAAGGGTCTCGTTGAGCTTGGTGACATCGCTCAAGTGCTTAGAGCGAAGCTGGACCTTCTGCCAGACGTCGAGGTTGTGGCGGTAGCTGAACTCGCCAGCAGTACCGGTGCGGTAGAAGGAGTACTTCTGGTTGTCGAGCTTCTGGCGGGCGGCCCAGTCGAAGTCGGGGATGGCGCGGATGTCCTTGAGAAGGGGCAGGCTGCCCTTGGTGTAGTTGGTGCTATCGAGGTAGATCTGGAAACCGGTGTCGACCTCGTTCTCCCAAGGCTCGGCCGCGAAAGCGGCAGCGACGAACTGCGCGGCAACGAAGAGAAAGGAACGCATCGTGAACTGTGCTGTAAAGACCGTTGAAAGGAGTGTAATGGGTGAGACTGAGTGTAGATCTTTGCCAAGCACAGCTGGTGACGCCTTTCTTCAGAAGTAGCTACGGCGACTCATGCCAGACTTATATGCTCCTCTCCGAACGAGCTAGACCCCTTCCATCCCACGATGATCTCCATCGAGAGCATCCACTACCATGTCGGTGCATTTTACCCCCGGCGGCCTCAGGGTTAGGCCGCATGTTCTTCACGTCGAGCAGGTACTGGTTCGTCTCAAGTCCTCCCCAAAGAGCAAACATCAGGCCTTGGCCGAATCACTTGCCAAGTTGGGAGCTGGGACGCCCCCTGCCGCGCGAGTCGAAAGGAGGTGAAGAGAACCCGCCGACTGGCCAGTCACGATCTAATCTAATCAATCCGAGATACCCGAATGCCTGGATTCCTTGGCTGAAGCAGTCAGGCCTCCGTGGGGGGTGTCTGTTCAGTCATCCTTAGTAATGGCGCAGAGAGTCCACTCGCTTCTTTTGGAAGTTGTTTTTGAAGGCATCGACTTGCCTAAACCGGAGAATTTTGGGACTTCACATGTGGCTAAGGCAAGGGTATCCTGTCACAGTGGTCGGATCTTCAAGGCATTGGCTAGTTTATTAAAAAGAAGAAAACCCACAATGAGGTAAATCCTGCCCAAGACTTGGTAACGACTCGGCTGCTTCTCCGTACTCGGACGGTCGTTACCAGTGTGTTGACCAGAATGGAAATGAGAACTCCTCAATGATAACCAAGATTGCGGAAATGCCCAGACCTGCCAGAGACAGCAGGTTGGGATTCCTGACTTCCTGAAGCAGGAGGCTTGGCTCCGGCCCAAGACTGCGGTAACAGGATGTCGCTTGTCGGCAGTGTTGCTGCTTTGGCACTGGCTCTGTTTATGCGCGCTTTCCCATCATTCAAGATGCAACATCAACTCCGCTTGTGGAGAGAGTTGGGAATGACTTTGGACGAACGAGAGCCGCGAGACGAGATGAAATTAAGTTCTCGTTTCTAGGAGGGAGTGGAGTGGCCAACAGGAATAAAAGAGATGGATCTGCTGTCTACAGAAAGCTTGGCGCGGATGTAAAATGCTTCCCTGTCGATGGATGTCTTCACCCTCAGCCAGCCGTACGTACGGTACCCGTTGCAAGGTCCGTCTGTCTTTAACGGGTTGAGTTATAACTCTCCATGGGGTCCGCCCACACTCGTGTGTGCGGACTCTGCGGAGAGCTCGCAGTTAAACTCATCTCACGGTTGGGGCTCCAGGCTTTCTTTAACGGAGCTTGCCCGGGGACCTGTGGACTCCTCCGGTTCTCCGATAGCCCGAGATGGGTCTTCGCGCGCGGTTGTCCTTGAGAAGGGAAAAACCTAACCGACATCACTGACCCTCCCTAGCAAAGACTTTTTGTTTTCTTTGGAATCAATGGCCCACGCACACGGGTTGGCGAGGGCAATTGACAGCAGCATTGCCATTATCCGCGGGGCTTGGTTCGGACGACAATTCCGAGAACGGGAGCTGCCAAGAGATAGCCAGGAATTCTCAAGGGATATTGTTACGCAATACGGAGGACTTTTGACGCAGATTCAGACTGGTAGCGGCGATTTTCAACAAGTCCTTCTTCCCGTGAAGAATCCAGGGAGTGATGCTACACATCTACTAATCAACATGACTGACTGGTCCCATTTGATCTTTTCCATAATGCTTTTCCTGCGGCCGCCGCGGCTTAAAACATCATGAATCACACGCTGAACAGCCCCCATCAACTACTCCTCATAGGCTGGTAATCAAGATGAGGCTCCCTTGATGTCCCTCGATTTAAATGGTACAGTCGCAATGCGACGGAGCCAGATTCACCAATGATGTTGCTAGCCGATATGAGCGTTGCACCTCCTCGATTAAGACAGACCCCCACGCTCCGATGGCCAAAGTCCGTGGTCGCACAGCCAGCTTTTCGGGCCCTCCCTACAAGGCAGCCCTTAAACAAGTCTGGAAATCATCATCTCGGCTGCAGTTTCTGATCACTTTGCGGCTCTCAGGCACAGACTGGACATGGGCAGTAGGAACGATGTTAATTCTCACGCTGCGCGGTCGGCGCGGGCCCCGGTGGTTTTGCTCGTCTTTTGCTGCAAGACTCTCACTCTCGCTCACACAGACACCCTCTCTCCGTCATTCTTATTTCTGCTCAAATCCTTGTTTCTTTTTCGTCTCTTGTGCTCGGCTCCGATAACAGGGTGACTTTCACAAGTAGTGGGTTCGGTGCTCGGCGCAACAACACAGCGCCCGGTGCAGCGCCTGCAAGCCAGGGGGAGGCACAGCCAAAACCCGCAGCCCCTGACTCGAATCAACGCTGAACGACCAAATGCACACAACACCATGATTCAAGACAGAGGCAGGATCGTCGAAAATCTTTTGATTTGATATCCACCGCAACTTGCAGCACCACACCGCTTGAAAAATCGACACCATTCAGGTGGTTTCTACTTGCGCTCCGCCACTGGTGAACCATGTGACACATCTTGAGTCTATTTTTTGCTAAAAAGACATCGCTTTGCTTAATTTTTGTCGTGTTTTCCTCGTCAACCATGCTCAGCAGACTAGAAAGAACCCGTTAGACAACACTCAGTCATCATCGTACAATAGATCAACTTACTTCCAATAACGCCGTTGACGGGAATGTCTATCGACGTGGTGTAGCTCGCGGCGTCGCTCAGGAGGTAGACGTACGCGCCACCCAGCTCCTGGACCTCCGCCAGCCTCGGGATGCCTCCGTAGTACTTCAGCTGCTGCTCCCAGTCCGGCTGTTGCGGGACCCAGTAGGTCATCGCGGTGCGGACGAGACCGGGAGAGACACTGTTGACGCGGATGCCGTACTTTGCCCATTCCATCGCCAGCGTGTGGGCCATGTTGCGGATGCCGGCCTTGGAGGCGCCGTAAGGTGCCGAGGGCACGCGCTGGAATAATGTCAGTCGTGCTTCATGCGACGATTTCTTTCGGAATTGAGAGGACGAACCTTGTTGGGGCGGTAAGATGCCATAGACGCCGTGAATACCACAGATCCCTTGATGCCGAGCTTGATAAACGCCCTCGCGGCGGCTCTGGCTGTGTAAAAGGCTCCAAACAGCTACACATGATTAGCAACCCTCCTCTGACTTCCACGCTGCATAAAACTCACGTTAACACCGAATAGCGTCTCAATCTCCTCCTTGGTAAAGTCCAGCGCCGCCTTGTGGTTCGTGCGGCCGGCGTTGGCGACGACGCCGTGGATGGCGCCGGCTTCCTCGACAATCTTGTCGATGGCGG